TTTTTTTTTTTTTTTTTTTTCGAATCAAATTTATCAATTTTTTTATTTGGTTCAGTGTTTAAAACTTAAATATTTTTCTTTTATTTAAAATCTTATATTCAATAATTTGCTATGATTTATATAAAATTTATTTTAGTGTATCCTTTCCGCTTTAAATTTTTTTCATTTACTGTAAAATAATATAGAAGCCTCAGTTATCCTCAAGTATTAGGAGGTTTACGACACAGAAATTGCAGCACTGTTAGTCGTTGTATTTGTTTTTTGACAACAAAAAAAAAAAAGAAGTGAACACCATATTATGCAATTATGTTCAATATTTGATTTTTAGCTTAATTAACAAAAAGTAACAGTTTTTTGAGTGAAAAAAAAAACTTTTTGAATTATTTTTCACCTGCTTTTGTGCTCTCAGTTGTTAGCCATTCAGCTCTAACACACAGTCGCCCAGACACTTATGGTACTCCACAGGCACACCAACAACACATTGCAACAGTTTGGGTCATCCAGAAGAACTGCTTATTATCAGAGCACAAGATGTCTCCATCTATTTCCACCTCTATACACACTGTCTTACCAGTAGCCAATTCAACCACTGTACGTTTAAGAAAAAAAAAGCTAAAAACTGTAAAATTTCTGTGAACGTCAGATTCTAAAATTTTGGAATATAATAGTCTACCAATTAATCTATACCAATTCTTTCCTAGTTCAACTGACTTAGTAATTCCTCTTCATTTACTTGCCACAGTCGCCTTCTGAAGAAGCAGATGAATTAAGTACACAGATTTCTGTCTTTAAATTTGCTATGTTTTGTATCATAATTTTTGCGTTTTTTTAACTGTTCAAATGTGAAAAAGAGTGTGGATTGATGCGGTATTGTGCTTGGAGGTTCTTATAGGTTTTGGTTGAAAAAATGCATTTTCAAAATAAATTTTTTGAAAATAAATCAAAAAAAGAAAATTTTTTTTTTGTCAATGATCTGCGTATTCTTAGAAGTTATCTTCACATATACGATTAATTTTTTGTCTTTTGTTTTGAGAAATTTTCAGTTAAAATTTTCAATTTTTTACAGACATACATTTCTTCCGTTTATTTATTTCAACAAGAAATGTTTGAGGTAATTTAGTGCTGTCATGAGTACCATCAAAATGCATTCGAGAAATATTTGAATTTGCTAACTGCTGTTTACTTTTTTTTCCACCTTAGCTACAACAAAAAAAAAATCGCTGAATACGAGCAGGAAGAAGCAAAATTTAATAACTAAAATACGAAAGCTTCTAATCCACAAAAACAATTATAGTTGTTTGACTATACAAAAAATTGCCGATCATGTTGCGCTAAAATCATAATTTTTCTTAGACTGTGCTCAGGAAAAAAATAGAATAGAGGTAGAACAATAACTTTCAGACAATACAGTAACTACATTAAACTGTATTCTGTTAAAATAATGGATTTACTTTTATGTGCAATCAAAAAAAAAATACGAAAGTTTTTTAGTGTAGCAGTTTTTACTGTACTGACCACAACCACATTGACCACAACGACAACTTGTCGTTTACGGGTAAACGAAGGTCCGCAAAAAATCGTTAAAAGACGCCGTTGAAAAGCCGAACAGAACAGTTTACCGTCGTTGATGAGGTAAGAAAGATGT